ATTCCACCGCTGCTCGACCTTTGGAGACTTATGACCTGTAGTGGAAAGGAGCTAACATGCTCTTAGAATAGAAAAGCCGAATGGCGAAAAGAAATGGATTGGTTGGTATTTTTTTACCATGAATAGAATTTGTGTATGCTTAGAATTTTTTTATACATTTGCCAAGAAAAAGAAGTTTTAGTTTTAAATGCAATTATGCAAAAATGGGAAGAAAATATCGGAGGGAGACTAACCTAGCTCTAATCTAATGTTATCATACAATGAGAGATTCTATCTAAGTTAGCATGCCAGAGAAAGTCTAATAAACTATCTTATAGGGAACATACAATGAGAGCGAAGTCGTGATCTCAATTTCTAAATTGAGTGACTCATCGATCAACAAGAAATAAAGGAAAGTGATAAAGTCCTATAGAGAGCATGCACTGAGAGCGAAGTCGTGATCTCAATTTCTAAATTGAGTGACTCATCGATCAACAAGAAAGTAAAAAAACACAAGCACACACACACATATAAGGTATAAAGTGCAGAATGCCTTCTACAAGTCTTTAAATAGCGACTTCGAGCGCACACTCTTTATTTCCTACTTCTCATGATATCTAGAAAAGCAATAAATGCGAAAATATAGCTTGGAAACAGTATAATACCAAACAAACAATAATGTCCGCAAAAAGCGCAACCAAAGCAAAGAAACCAAGAATACTTCACGCAAGCTGACATCAATAAACAAACAGTCAGAGATTGAATGTTCGAAAAATGTGTCGAAGCTTCATCGATGTGAAAATAAATCACAATCGGAATCCAAACACATCTGCATATCAGACAATGAACCTGCACAAGACTCAACTTAACATGTAAAAGTGAATCACAAGTTTCAAGTAATCGAAAAAAGATTGGGCATTAATTTCCAACAATCAAATAAAAGCCTAAATACATTTTTTTATTTTTTGTAGTTTATTATCATACAATAACAAAAATCTAAATTCTCCACATTTTTTTAAAATTGTTTTATCATATATTCTATTGCCATTCGTATCAAAAAGGAAATTAAACAAGAAAACAAAATTTTAAAACTAAAGAAATTAGAAAGAGTCAAAAGGGGGTGAAGCTGGAATCAGGGGGATATTGCTTAAGCAAAAACGCCAGGATATCAGGCCCAACGTAGAGTCCAATAAGCTCTTTTTATATTCAACCACCTATTTTTTTACAAAAAATGCCCAAGTCTTGAAGACCTCGGTCCAAATACTATTCTTTGTAACAATTCTTCCAGACTACAAGAGAAAATTTTGGATAGGCTCATGGGATGCTGGCGGCTCATCCAAGCCCAACAAAACTACACAATTGATGTCCTTTTATTTCAGTTCATAAAAAAAAAAGTGAAGCACCAAAAAGGAACTATAACATTGGACAATAGGAGTTAGGGTTATGGCTATTTGAACCCCTCTCTTATCCTCACTTCAGATCTGTCGCGCCAATCTATTCTCCCAACCCCAAATTGCCGGCGAGTTCAACAACCTCGCTTCCACAATATCAAAATTTCAGTTCACAGTTCTTATGCTATCTTATCCCTAATCGTGATTATAAGCCTAAATACTTTTTCTTTGATTCAATCCTCTGCCCTTTCTGCTTACGATTCCAATTCAAACTCTCATCCTTTCATTGATTCAATCATAACAGCAAAAGATAATATCTGTTACTGGAAGGAATTAAAGAAACGTTACCTGACGGCGACGATCCTGATTCTTCTTCAACACCGCTGTGAAGATAAGAACTCCAATGGTAAGCTCTTCACTCTTTTCCTCTTCTTTGCTTCTGAACTCCTTTATCGTCACTTCCTTCTTCACGCTTCATGTTGTTATCTGAAGTCGCGGTTATGCCATGATATTATTGTTGTTGCTCGTTTGCAGGGAAGAAGGTTGGATAATTGATGAAGGTGGTAATGGAGTGATGAAGTAGGGTCTAAAGATTATGGAAGATGAAGATTGAAGAGGAGTGTGGTTTGCTGAAATGGTGATGGAAGATGATAATGGAGAGATTTTGTGGTAATGCTGTTGAAGATTGAGGTGAAGGTCCAAGGAAGATTGTGAAGAAAATGATGGTCGCAGAAGAAAAAAACCCAGCCGAAAGTAGATAGGTGCGTTTCTGTTATCATTATTGTGAATCCCCCCTCTCTTTTCTCAATTCTGTTATTAATATGTTAGCACCTCTTCCTCCCTATTCTGTTACCAATCTGTTAGTCGATAGAAATTAGTTAGGAAAAACAGTTAGAGGTGTTAGAGAGTTAGTTATATGTTGATGAGCTGGCCAATTTCTGTTATAACAGTTTGTTTTGGGAACTCTATGATATTTTGAGTGTTAGTAAGTCTTCCTGATTTTCCTTCTTTTTACTGCTTTCATTTTGCACTCAGCCTGTGTCTTGCTATTTTCTGAATTTTCGCGTGCTCTAAATTTGTTGTGTTTGCAGATGATGATGAACGGTAATGATGATGATCATGCAGGTTATTCTTGATGCAATGAAAGTACAATGATGACAGTGTGCTACATGAGTCATTGCAGATCGAAGAGAAGAACCAAATTTTTGTTGAATTCTCAAGATAGAGTTAATGAAGAAAGTTGCGAAGCGGATTGCAGTAATGGAGAATCGATGAAATCGTCAAAGAGATTACAGGTTGAAGAGAAGGTTGAAGAGCAAGATCGTCAAAAGATGATACTGAGATTTAGCAGATAATGAAAATGAAGCAGAGAGAGAGGACAAATTTGTGGTGAGTTCTTCTCTGTAATTTTCTATATTTTTTTGCATCATCCCTCCCTTTTCTTTTTCTGTTAGAAAACTGTTATAGCCTCCTCATTTCTTTTTCTAATATGTTGTTGGCCATTAGTTATGCAAGTTGTTATGACAGTTATATGATCTGTCATATTTTGTTATGAGCTTCTGAACTGAGACTTTTTTGTTGATTGTTAGTTAGTTTGGGCTAAGATTCAGGTTCTGACTTCTGTAAACAAAAGTTTTACAAAATGCTAATGGTTTCTGGTTTTGAAAATGATGGCAGGGATGCACATGTTCGAATAGTTCATGAATCACTTGTTTGGTTGAATGCAGGTTTTCAAATCCAAGTCTAATATCAAGAAGATTGCACTATGTTGGAAGCTAGCTTTGATGTCGCCAAGCTGCATCTTTCTTATATAGCTTTTTTGTTTTTTCTTTTATCTCGATACTGTAACATGATGTAATGATTTAGGGTGTAATGAATCTCCCAACTTGGATAGATTTATTAATTTGTATTGCATTTTGCAACTTGTAACATGACATTGTATTCGAAACCTTGAGTGCAGCTTTGTATCATGATAAAGACTTTGAGTTTGCAATTCTCAAAGGATGCCATTTGAATAAAAACACGATGAACCTTGAATAACATGAACCTATATAAATTTGGATGATCTTGAAAGGATTTTGATTGATTTTTTTGAAATTCGACATCTTGAACGAGGCCTTGTAATTCAAATCCCACACTTTGTACTAGCTGTTTGCATTTCGAACAAACCACATGAGTGATTCTACCTTTTGAATTGATTCTTGAGAAAATTGAAATACGCTTGAGCTAGCACTTTGGTATTCCACACAAATTATAATCATGAACTCTCTCGAACCAACCTTAAAAGGAATATTTCACCCTAATGAACTCATTCCCTAATTCAATCTTCAAATCCAAGTTAGCTTGCAAACAATCAAGGAATTGAAAAGGTAACAAAGGTTTTGATCATAAAGAATCCTCAAACTCCTACCATGTTGTATATTCACTCTTTAGTCAACAAAGTATCTTGATGAAAATCCAAAGAAGCGCTTACTTATCTGAAAGTATTATCATAAGAAGAGAACCCTGACTCAATCCTCTAGCCCTCTTGAGAAGAATTGACTTGTGATGTAAGCAATTAGGAGGAACCCCAATTCTCTTGATTTGGAGGTACAATGATGAGGAGATGACTTGAAGTATAGAGAGGAATCAAAACCCTAGCTCATAGCCTGCTCAAATGCAAGGCATGATGAATCCTAAGCACGCAAAGTTAAATCCCTAATCCACTTGTTCTTGAGGAACTTTTGATGAAGAAAACCTTATGTCTCTAGGAAACCTATTAATGAAGAAGTCTATGATTCTTGTGATCCAAAACCCTAATCTCATACCAAGAATAATGAGAGCACCAGTTGAATCAATTTTGAGTAAGACAACAACCTCAATTCATAGAGAGAAACCCTAATGCCAAAGCTCTTCGATCTTATAACTATGAGACCAATGCTATGTGTGAGATGTACAGAGTATGGTGATGGATCATAGGAGAAAAAATTAGGGTATAACAGATTCATTTTGGTTAGGTACGATCAATATATATATATATATATATATATATATATATATATATATATATATATATATATATATATATATATATATATATATATATATATATATATATATATATATATATATATATATATATATATATTGTTGAACTAATACAACAATGCATCAAATAAACGAGTGAAAGTGCAACAAAATTAAATAAATGAGACAATGCAACAAGGAGAAGTGATAAAATGTGAGCTACCGAATAAAAAGACCTACTATAAATATAGATACTAGTCATCAAATACATATCTTCAAAATGTCATAGACAGACAAACACCATATTATATATATATATATATATATATATATATATATATATATATATATATATATGAAAAAAAATTGAAAAATCTAGTTTGGCTATAGCCACACCTTATTTATGAGGGAGATGCACAACTTAATTTTGAAAAAAACAATATATAGGAGAATGAAGAAAGGGGACCTCAAAATTTCGTCTGATAGTCATGTGAGTTACGTGTATCCAACTTCTTCCCCGCATTCACTTACACGTTTTCATTACGACTTATACTCACTTCACTTAACACCATAACATTCATCTTCCTCTTCCCAACTCTCACTCCCATCCAATCTCATTCTTTCATGGCATCTACCACGCGCGTCACTCACTGCGACCTCCGCCCGCCCAAACCGCCCTCACGTCCTCTCCTCGATAAACCCGCTCCGGTTCAGCTTTCCATCCCAAAACCCAAACTAACCGAACCAGAAGGCGCCGCCACAAACATCGTTCTACAACCGCGGCTATGCACCCTCAGATCGTACGGTTCCGATCCAATCGCCGCCGTAATCAAATCTCGTAAACAAGATACTCAAGTTACCGATGACGTGTCATCTTTCTTCGCCACGCTTTCAGAATACATTGAGAGCTCTAAGAAAAGCCAAGATTTCGAAATCATCTCCGGTCGTCTCGCCATGGTAACAAAACCCTAACACTCACCGTTACTATTACAAATAATAATAACTATTAATTTTTTTTATTGATGTGGCGGTGCAGATGGTGTTTGCGGCGACGGTTACGGTGGAGCTGGTCACCGGAAACTCCGTGTTCAGGAAAATGGATATTGCAGGGATAACGGAGGCCGGTGGAGTTTGTTTAGGCGCGGTTGCTTTCGCGGCTTTGTTTGCTTGGTTTTCAAGTGCGCGTAACAAAGTGGATCGAATCTTCACCGTTAGCTACAACTCCTTCATCGATTCGCTAATTGATCAAATCGTTGACGGTTTATTCTACGATGAAATCTGATACACGCGGCATAATAATCATATAGTATAAGGAAGATCCATGCATCTCATGTATTAGTATTTAGTACTAGTATACAGAGTGTATATGTATATTGTATATTTAGACTGTATCTTGGATAAATTGAATGATACACTAATTGATTATTGAATCACGTTTGTGCGTTGTGATGTTCAATTACCAATTTAGTAATGATTTGCAGTTTTATATAAAAAAGTGAAAGAAAAATAAGTTTGTAAACTTTGTTTATACATGAGACTGTAATTTGTATGTAACAGCTTATAAGAGTTTAACGTTGAACTGTGATGCGCTATGATGTGCTTTCGATTGTTTGAATGCACTCCAGTACACTCGCCTTCTTTGCCATTGACGCCATTAATGCTTCATGGATTCCCTTGTTGTTTTTCAAGAGAGAAGCAGCAAACAAAACCTGCGAAATTTGAGTTTCTTGAGGATAAAAATGCATGAATATGAGCTTTTGAAATATATCTGCAATGCTATTTTGTGTCTATCACTCTTACTGCCCATCTGGTGAGATTTTGTTGCTGATCTTTGCTGAGTTGTGGCTTGGTTCTGTTGATAAACCTCTGTAGGAAGATATATATTTTTTAAATTATTATTATTTGATCTAATAAAAGTGAGTAGTTTGATATTAATATATTTTTGGAAATAGAGGTTTTCAAACCTGGAGCGTGAAAAGATCAGCTGATTGACCAATCACTTTGTCATATGTTAAACCTTCTGCTGCTAGTCCAGCCATTGATACAACAGCCAATCTGATCGAAAATGCAATAAGAATCTGTTTTTTCAAATCATATTCATCTTGATACTTTGTTCTTAACAAATTATCACAAGTTACACACATTCCATGTTCATGTCATATCATATCTGCATTTTCTCGACTAAAGCCTCCAGGTAAATACCTGTCTAGCTCCTTAGTATCAAGCTGGCCACTATACAGAAGCTTTTCAAGCCTCTCATCAATGAGATTGACATGCTCTTTCCCAATATCCAACGAATATCCAAAAATCGGTAAGCCAAGCAGATAAGCAACTAGAACGAACAAAAGAACAGAAAAAGCCGAGTTATAGAGTGCATCTCATACAAATGTATGTGTGTATATATGTATATCAGCCAAAAAATGCAGTACTCAAAAAGTGGGCTGCTTCGTGTCTAGCGATCCTTTCTTGATAATCCGGAAAAACTGCTGAAAAGCTGCTAATAGCTGCTTGGAGAAGCCTACACTAGCATATTAATTACAACATAAATGTTATGGCAAACACTGAACATTGAAGAGAGCATTTACTACTACTTGGTAAGCCTAATTCATACCCAGGAGATGTGCTACCAATGCCCAAAACCACTAAGGAAATACTCCCAATCAAGTATGGTACAAAGAAGCCCCAATCCTGCATCAATCAGCGATGGTAAAAGAGAGAGTAGATGGAAAATAGGAAGTTAAAAAAGACATTCTACTACCATAAAGCATTTCCTCAATAAATAATTTCCGCAGGAATAAATTACAACTCTACAAGCCAAATTGCCGCAAATTATAACTTCAACTTTAAGACAGCATCACGCGATATGTCTTTATATCACATTGCATTTGAAATGCTTTTGATAATCATGCAAAAATATGCAATGTGATGTCCTAATGAAGTGGATGCGCCAGGCTTCAAAGTCTTCACAAAAATTTGCAATGAATTATAAACATCTCAAACATAAAATAAGTTCAAAGCACGAAAACCACAATATTTTAACAGCTGCAATGCCCTGGTTTCTAGTGGCCTGTACATTTTGCTCGACTGTAACCACAATTTGAAACCATGACTGTTATATCCACATTTACGAATAACACTCCTAGACTTCATCTTGCTTCTAAACACAAGATCATCACACAGACATACAGAGCAAAAAGAAGAGTGGAGGAGATACGTACCCCGGGAAGCTGGCCTGCCAGAATACCCAAGAATCCAGTTGTTCCAACCACAGTAAAGAGAAAAGCTGCCTGCACTACAAAGATCTATGTTACAAATTGGACTTGGAACAAACTTAACTCTCAAGAAACTCATATGTCATGTATAATTCCATTTGATACTACAAAAGTAAAAAATAAAAAGCAATTCTGAAAACTTACATCATTTCTAACACTAGGAATTGCAAGGTTCTCCGCATTTTTAATCCCTAAAGTTGTCAGCTCTCGAATTGATGTCTGGTGCGCAGATTTGGAAGCATTAAACAAAATATACTTGACAATACAAGACTAATAAGACAAGACAACATCGATAATAATTTTAAAAAATACGACAACATCAGACATGACACATCACACATGTAAGACACCGGATACATCAAATGTTAGTGCTTCTACAATATATGAATTGCTGATTGCCATGTCTATTGGAATTTATCAAGAACTTCAACATATGTAATGGAGACTAACCGTACGACGTGAAACATATGGCTGGGAACTCCATTTCTTGGCCCAACCAATTTCACTCAGCTGATCAAGTGCCTCTTTAACAGCATTGCTATCTTTCTGCACACAAATGTTTTATTTACATACCTGTTAATTCAGTTTCATATGATCATAAATATAAAACAAAAGAATCTAATTAGAACATGAATTTGAGGAAACATCATATATTGTTGATAAATATATATAACGAAAAACAAAATAAATAAATAAATGTAATGCTATTTGGTGCTAAGACCTTTGCAATTGCAGAATCAAGGGTGTTGAGGTCAACACCAGGTGCAGCAGAGGAAGCTCTTGTTGTGAATTTAGGGAGGTTGGTGTTGAGGCATCTTTGATGGAAATTATTAATATTATGGTAATAATAATATGGTTTGTGAAGAGATGAGTAAGACATGGTTGATACCCACATTTTTGTTATCTCTTTCGATTCCAAGTATTAGAACCTTATTGGAGGGTGGAGGTTGCAGTAGATAAGGAATAAGGAAGGACTTGAGAGGCTTTGTGGGACCAATGAAGCAACTTCGCTTTTCATTATTACTAATTTCGTTGATCTCTTAAAACCCAATAATATAAGTTAATGAATTGTATAATACATGGTATTCATAGGACCGACCGATTCGATTCGATTGGTCGAATCGGGAACCAAAACTCTAACCAATTTATTTGGACTTGAAAATCGGTATACATAAAAATCAAAATTTAAATCGAAAAATCAATCTAAAATAAAAAAACCTAAAGCTTAAACAATTTCTAAGATTTGATCGGTTTAGTTTTTGATTTATAAAAATATGATAAGGATTTTGTTTTAAATAACGTGTTACTTGATTTAATTTCTTTTTTCCCTCTCCAATCATAGTATAATATTAGAGAGAAACTAATCTAAAAAGTCAAAGTAAAAACTTATACTTATTGAAAAGTATAGATGTGTGACACCTCTGTGTTGGTAGGAGTGGTCAAGTGCTTTTAGAGTTTGTGATGGTTTAGGGCGAGTTCGCGGGTGTGTTTTCTAATGAGAGCAAGCTTCCGAGGTTGAGAAGCTTAGTATTTTTAGAGGTTAAGAGCAAAACTATACAATAAATAACAAATTAAAATAGAATAACTTGTCCACGTACGACATTTCACTTTTTTCTACTTGAACTTGAATGATTGGTAGTAATTTTCATGATAATTAATTATGATTGGTTTGGGTTGGGTTTGTGGGTAGAAAATTGAAAATCTGATGCTCGAATCAATTATCATTGGATTTCATTGGTTTGATTCGACTCTTGCTCGAACTGAAAAAATATCAAACCCAAACACTATAGTTTGGTTTGGATTCCGGTTTGGTTCGGATTTACCCGAACCAATGAACACCCCTATTTAGGGGTGTTTCGTGGTGAATTCAGAATTCCCTTCTCATTCTAGGAATGAGGTATTTATAGAGGCTTATGGGCTTATATTTAGGGTTTTTCAAAAATAGCAATCACCCATCTAATAATGGTAATGGACCATTAAATACATGATTATTATAGAGACTAGTGTTATTTCCTTGACTCTTTTTATGGATTATTTCTGACAAATACATGTCATTTCACATGTTTCCCTATATTGGGTGTGTGACGACTATCGTGAGAGAGTGTATCTCCCTCGTGGGCGATATGGTTCTATTGCCCCTTATTGGCAGCATGGTCTCCTCGTCCCTAGTGAGTCCTTTGCAAATATATCACTACATAGTCTCTCAAGCACGAGGGATTGGAAATGGGCAAAATGCTTAATTGACTAGGTGTCGCGGTGTCTATCTGATGAGTTCTAAGTCAAGGCCCACATACGTGGTTTTAATTTGAGCTTATTTGATGAGACTCTTAGTCTCCCAGGAAAGTCGTTTAAATATACATGTTTGATGATACTCTAAGTCTCTCAGGTGATTCGTTTAGATAAACTTGTCTTACGAGACTCTAAGTCTCTTAGACAAGGCATTTAGACGAGTTTCTAGGGCTAGATTGAAGTCTATCCTCTCAAGCGAGACTTAACTTAAGCCTCTCGGGCTAGACTTCGATCGAGTCCCTCGAGAAAGACTTTAAGTTTAGCATGTCTTATGGCACTCTAAGTCCCTCAGGTTAGTCACTTATATGGGCCTGTCTTATGAGACAGTTAAGTCCTTCAGGCGAGACGTTTAGGTGAGCCTGTATGATGAGACTTTAAGTTCCTCGGGCAATGCGTTTAGATTAGTCTCTCAGACTAGACTTCATTTGTATCCATCGGGCGAGACTTAAGTTAAGTTTCTCAGGCCAGACTTCGGTCGAGTCCCTCGGGCGTGACTTTAAGTTGAGTATGTCTGATGGGACTCTGATCCCCTCAAGCGAGTTGTTTAGATGGGTATGTTTGAAGACAATCTAAGTCCATTAGCCGAGTGTTGGCTGAAGATTTTGATGATACAGTTCGAAACGAAGCAAGTTGGGTGTTTCGTTGGAATAAAGCAAGATGTCATGGTTCGGAATGGTAGAAGTAGTTCTTCGAATGAACATGTCAAAGCTCGGAGCTTCGAGTGACAGTTATGGGGGTATATTCAAAAGAAGTCTCGAAGTGGTAACAAGGCTGTGTCCAAGAAATGAGTTCGAAGCGAAGAGTGCCAAAACATTTGAAATTCAAACGCAAGCGGGATGTTCGAAATTTAAAATATATGCGCTGGAGCATTCGAAGACGCGTGGAAGCTAGAGAGGAGCAGTGCTTTGCATGTTCTGAACGTGGCAGAATCTTATAGGCAAGACCGTTATGGTCGAAGTAGTATAAATAGAAGTCTTAGCATTAGGATTTCGTGTGTCATATCTATTGTACAAAATTCAGTAAACATTCAAAATACCACATGGCTAGGGAAACGAATGCTCGAACAATGTACGTATGATAACACCAAATGTTTATGATTCAGCAAAACTCTTTATCATTTCCAGTTTATCCTCTATCTTCATGTCAATATCATTCAAAAGCCTTTACATTAAAATCGTTTTCATTCAAAGTCATCTACTGATTTCTTGCATTTGAAAGTCTTTCCCTCTATTCCGAGTACTTTACATTTCAGAAATTCTTATACCTTTTATGCTGTTATCTTCATGCTTTTATCATTCGAATACCTTTTCATCCAAAGTCATTTTACTGATTTCTTGCATTTAAACGCTTTCTTTCTATTTCGAATCTTTTACATTCCAGAAACTCTTTTACATTACATGCTTTTATACTTAGAAGTTATTTACTTGTTTCTTGCAGTTTTACATGTCTTTACAATTGAACCTCTATTCATGCAATTTAGTTTCGCACGTATTTACTTGATCATGTCATTAGATATTTAATATGGTAATCGAAGTAAGTTGAACACCTACACAACATTCTAAATACCAACCATGAATATCAGTTCTACAATGAGAATTATCCAAACGACCAATACACCATAGGATCAATCTAGTCGATCCTGCAAGTTACCAGAGAGATTAAATAACAGTCATTAAGATTATTTGATAGTTTGGAGGACTAGCGGTTGTTTACTAGAAATAACTGTAAACAAATTGGCACACCTGGTGGGACCGTCATTGGTCATCACGAAATTTAGAACAAAGTAAAAATTATTGATACATAACCATTGTAAAAGTACTCTCTGAGTGATAAGTTCGTTGTTATATGAACCTTAGAAGTGGTAGAATAACCAATAGCAACCAACCCTTACCCAGAAGAAAACGTTTAAACAAGATGTCTAATCCAGACAATCAACAGGGGGAACAAAATATCCCACAAACAACAGGCACTAATATGTCCGCTTCGACAGGAACATCTAATACGATCCCTTCGAACGCACAGTCTGTTGCATCTTCTACCAGTAGTATAGCCACGAATGGAACAAGTGGCATGACGACTAACAGTTCGATCCTAGGCAATACAGGAACCATTGGTTATCCTGGGGGATTCATCCCACCACCAGGGACACAAACCCATTTCGCCACCCCACTAACTAGACCACCCGGGTTCGATGCTAACAGACACAGAAATTCCTCTTATGGGATGCCAACATCTTTTATGGCGGGTCTGCACACTTCGACATCGAATACATCACCACAATTAGGGTCTGGGTCTGGGGCAAATCAATTTATGACAAATAACCAAGGGTCAGTGGGTTATAGTGCAATGCCTATCTTAACCACAGAAAATCAGTTGGCCTTTAGGCAATTAATGGATGACAGTAACCATAATACGATAGGAGTATTAGCACAGACTATGCAGGAGATCTTTGCCCCAATAGTACAAAATGTAACTGTGACAAACAGAGAAAACGCGGATAACATGAGTCGAATAGCAGATTTTTTCGCTCCCCCAGAAAGGCGTAGGCAGAATCAGGCGGGAGTTCGAGCAAACGTACCTATCATAGAACAAGTTGCTGAGGACTCACCCTATAGACCAGCCAGAGAGGGGGTTAATTTGGGGGCAAGGGCACAAAGGTTAGAAGCCCCAATGATTCAAGGCCCACAAAGGGAAATTATGGAACCAGGGGCAAGGATCGAAAGGCTAGAAGTCCCAGAGTTTCGAGAAGAACAGCCTAGAGGAGTTGTCATGGTGGGTCGAAATCAAGATGCTGATGCAGTCGTTCACAGAATTTGAAATGATAACATCTTGGCCGGAAATAATTTAACCACCATGATAGAGAGAATCATGGCCCAGAATGGCCTCAACACAGGAATTAGAAGGCCAAATTATGCCTCTCCTATATTAGATTACATAATGCACACTGATTTACCAAGGGGATATAAAGTTCCTAAGTTTACAAAGTTCGTTGGAGATACCAATGAATCAACAGTCGAACACATAGTCAGGTATCTAACCGAAGCAGGAGATATAGCAAATAATGAAGACCTTAGGATCAAATATTTCCCAAGTTCCCTAACTAAGAACGCTTTCACATGGTTCACCACTTTACCTCCTGGGTCCATAGATACTTGGGCTCTGTTGGAGAGATTATTCCATGAACAGTTCTACATGGGACAATCTAAAATAAGTCTGAAGGAACTAGCCAGTGTCAAGAGGAAGTTTACTGAACCCATAGATGATTATCTGAATAGATTCAGGCTCTTGAAATCTAGATGCTTTACAGTAGTTCCTGAACATGAGTTAGTCGAAATGGTTGCTGGCGGCCTGGATTACTCTATTTGAAAGAAATTAGACACACAATACTTGAGGGATATGGCTCAATTAGCCGATAGGGTTCGACAGGTCGAAAGGCTAAAGGACGAAAAGGCCAGAGTTTTTAAAAATAACAAGAAAGAAAGGGTCTCCTATGTTGGAGCTGAGGAAGCAGAAGATTACCCTGAATTCGAAGAGATCGAAATTGATCTCGCTGAATTAAAACAGGCCCCACCTTACTCCTGCAAATTATTAGTTCCCACAAAAGGG